AAGTTTGAATTTTTTTTTTAGTGTGTTATGCTTTGGATCGAAGTTTCAGTGTGGTTGTTTGTGTATAATAACATTTGTTTTAGGGTTGAATTTTGCTTTTCAACAGATGTTTTTAAAAAAATTTCTAATCTTTTGTTGGTGAGATTAGATTGTGTATGACCCTGAAGCAAGGATTAACAAGTTGGCTGATGAAGTGGACAGGGAAGCTCCCCTTTCTAGGCTTACTTTGTTCTCTCCTTGCAAGGTAACCACCTTCCCCGTGCTTTTTCTTGGAGGCTACCCAAATTTGGTTGTTTTGTGTTGAAATTGCTACCCTTTATTCTGCAGATAAATGTTTTCTTGAGAATAACAAACAAGAGGGAAGATGGGTATCATGACTTGGCATCCCTTTTTCATGTAAGAGGTTATGACAATTTGGCAACTACCTCAGTGCTCTCTTATTTCATTTACCTTTTAATATGGTTTATGCATTCTTGAGCATGTCTTACTTGCATTTTTGGAGTCTTTCAGGTGATAAGTCTTGGTGACATAATTAAGTTCTCTTTGTCACCTTCAAAAACCAAGGATAGTCTATCAACCAATGTGTCTGGGGTGCCCCTTGATGATAGAAATCTGGTACTAATGTTTCCCTTCTCATTCTTTTCTTCTTCTGGTCATTTATCTGTTCAGATTCCAGAGAATGTTATATTGAAATTCTCTTTTAACAGATTATTAAGGCGCTTAACCTTTATAGGAAGAAGACTGGTAGTGACAAGTTCTTTTGGGTACGAAGTAACGATGTTTATTCTCTTCCTATTTTACCATTTTTAATTGAAAGCTGCATGCTTCTTTCTTTTCATCCAATAAACTCAACTTACTCCAAGATTTCATGTGTATAATGTATATTCATGTTGTTTTCAGATTCATCTGGATAAACGCGTGCCTACTGGGGCTGGGCTTGGAGGTGGAAGTAGCAATGCTGCAACTGCACTATGGGCAGCAAATCAATTCAGTGGTTGCCTTGCTTCAGAGAAAGAACTCCAAGAATGGTCAAGTGAGATTGGATCAGATATTCCCTTCTTTTTCTCTCAGGGAGCAGCCTATTGCACTGGTCGAGGAGAGGTTAGTCAAAAAATTAGGTACCTTCCATTCGCAATTTGCTTTCTTATTTATTGTTACATCTTGCTGTCCGGATTCACCATGTATGTCACCAATTGATATTGCTAATATTTCACAATTCTGATTGGATCCTATAATTGTGAAGGGATTTATGTCACTTCCTAGAATACAGCTTAAAGAGTCATGGTATAAAACTTTGATATTATTGTATGTAAGATGGCCAAGTGAATCCAGCATTTACCATTGTGGTTCAGATCGCCAAGATTGATCTTTATTACTGAAACCTTTAATAATTTAGTACAGACACCAGATCATTTTTGTCATGGATGGAAAGGAATTTGTCTGTTCCTAAAATATTTAATGTGAAGTGATTTATGTAACTTTTGTGTTCGACTGTGTCTAAGAATTCCCATGCATTTATAACCTTTTAACCATTTGCAGGCAGCTAAACTTATATTCAAGATGATTTCCCTTTCATTGTATTTTATTCAAGATTTTTTCTTTCACCTGTGCAGGTTGTTCAGAATATTCCTCCACCAGTATCTCTGGACGTTCCAATGGTTCTCATAAAGCCCCCAGAAGCATGTTCGACTGCAGAAGTCTACAAGGTATCTGTCTTTTCGGAGTATTAATGAAATCATACCCCCCTCCCCCAACTTTTAGTCCCGAATTTAACAACTTCCAATGGTACAGCGTCTACGTTTGGACCAGACTAGTAATGTTGATCCTTTAACATTGTTGGACAAGATCTCAAAAATTGGAATCTCACAAGATGTTTGTATTAATGATTTAGGTATGCTTTTAGCTATGTATTTTCTCACTTTTCCTTTGATTTGATTTTATTGAATGCAAGTTGTACATAATTCTATGAGATCTACAATGATGGTAAATAGCACAACTGATATTCTACTATTCTATTTTCATTATATAATTGTATGTACAATTTACTGAAATATCAACTGTGTCCCTTAATATCTTGCACAACATCAATTCTTCCAATCATTGGCACAGTTATATTTGATTCTCATTGAAGTTCTGTTCTGGTGCTTTTGACTTTAATTTTCTTTTCATGTTTTCCTTTTTCCTTCATCTCCAGAACCTCCCGCGTTTGAAGTTCTCCCATCTCTCAAAAGACTGAAGCAGCGCATTAGTGCAGCTGGTCGTGGAGAATATGGTGCTGTTTTTATGTCAGGAAGGTGAAAACACTGGAAAACCTATTATTCTTTAATATCTAGACTGTCATTTTTGTATAAGTCATAGAAACATGCTAGAGCTGGCCCCAGGCACAAATATATTGTGTGTTTGTTTCTAAAGGTTTCTCCACACCCTTTGTATGTGATACTAATCCCTTCTGCCACAGAGCAATGCTGTTAGTCACTCTTCACAATTATTATCTCCTGTTCCTCCATATTTATCCCTTTATATTCCATTCAGAAATATGAGAGAATAAGGTTTTTCATCCTCTATGTTCTACAATTCTTTTATAATCAATTCTATCAAAGGTTATACATAAAAGTAAACTGAGGTATTAATTCTTCTGAAGTGGTCAATATTTTTCTTGATCTTCTTTCTTTTAGTTGTAATATGGAGTCATGATTTGAAAAGATGCAATCATTTTATATGCTGTCTGAATACATCTCATGCAGTGGAAGCACCATTGTTGGAATTGGCTCTCCTGATCCTCCACAATTTGTTTATGATGATGATGAATACAAAGATGTGTTCTTATCAGGTAAGCTTTGATAAATTAAACTTGAAAGTAGAAAATTACATCCATGTTTGATATATTGAAGCTCTAGTTCCATGTGCAGACATCCATTATCCAGAAGCTGAAATGAGTAATTCTACATTACTTATGATTTGGAAAGTGGGAAATGCATTTTTACCTGTTCACATTGGCTAATTTTACTTATATAGCATATAAGAATGTGCAGAGGTGCAACATGCATTTCATCTGCAAATTGAGTTGTCATCAGAAACATAAATCCCTTACAATATTATGTTAATTTGAAAAATTAACTAAGGTCAATTCAAATGCCCCTGTTGAATGAAGTCCTTAAAAGTTCTTCTCTAACTGCATTAACTGAAAGGGTTAATTTTATTTCAGCACTCAATGAAGTATTAATTTTATTTCTAATTTAAACTATATCATTGTTAATGTATATATGCACCAGATAAAAGTAATGCATTTACTGGGAAAAGGAGGTTATTTTAGTGAAACTATTTCAACAAGTGTATGCATTTTATATTACCAAGAAGTTAAGTACATATATTTATTAGATGGTGTTTTAGAATGAGCTTATGATGGATTTTGATTTTGATGTGAATTTCTCACCGTCATTTGCAGATGCCTATTTTCTCACTAGGGAGGCAAACCAGTGGTATCAAGAACCTGCTTCAAATCCTTCTTCTGCCTCTGCTTCTGTTGTTTCAGACTCTGTTTAAGCATATGGTCTTTCAAGATAAGAAGACTGTAATGCAGAATTGCATTATCTTGTCTTTTTCTCCTGCATCATTCAATGATGTAAAAATTAAGTTTTGCAATTTAACTGCTGGGAAACAATAACGTTAGAGAGATAATCGGTTGAATAAATATTAAGGAGGGCTTCTAAGAAGTAACAATGTCCGAATAATTTGTCGTGGTTATTAGCAATTATTCAGAGACCCTAAAAATAATGTTGCAAGTTAAAGATGATCTTAGTTCTGTTTCAAAGTTGGATGGTCTTTTTGATTTTTGAATCACTTAATGTAATTGACATTGGAATGTTTATATGGTGAAAAATTGATTTTTGATATTTTACCTGCACAGAATACTTGACAATTTTCTCCTTGCTATCCCTTTTTCAAGCTGGTATTAGCTTGGTGGGAAGTAGTATACATACGATATAAATATAGAAATATTTATCAGAAGGTTAAATAAATGGTTCATGAACTACAAGTAAAATAAAATATAAAATATGAAATAAAATCTAAATATATAGTTATAAATATATGATATTAATAAAATAATAAAAAACATATTTAATTATATTCAGCATACAATCAATTTTATACAACAATAAAAAATAAAATAAAATAGCATAAACGTGGGATAGGTAGTCCAGCCAGAAATGCAAATAAACTCATTTTCTCAAATTATCCAAATTCATTTGATATATATATATATGCTTTAAAGGTTTTCTTTTTAGATGCCAATCTGGCATCCTATTGAAATTGAATGCTACAGTATGCGGATATGTTGGTCGTCTATATATTAACACAGAATACGCCACCAATAACTCACTACAATCCTTCTATTAAACATATTGATGAAAATTTATTGAAAAAACACCACATTATACAAATATCTCTCGTAGATGATCTTCCACAAAATTTTAATTGTTTTTATTCCAATGTGTATCGTGACTATATCTATTTTCAAACCTGTCATATAAAAGAATTTACCTTGGCTTAAAAAACTTCATTACACAATTTATCATTGAACTATTATCATTCCCGAAATTGACCACTTAAAATATCTCTATCTAAATTTAAAACATTCCGTTTTCACTTTAATGATCCGTTTTTGGATAAGATATTCATACAATACGTGAAAAATTAAAAGTTGTAAAATGAAAATGAAAAGGTGATAAAATTAAGAAAATAATAATTATTAAATGATAAATTTAATAATTGAACCTTTGAAAAAATGTACCACTTGCCACTACACTGTCATAGGACTGGGGAATCATGGAATATGAGATTTTATCAGACATTCCACGGCTCTACCCAGTTATACAGTGTCCTTTTGAGGCTGCAGTATAACAAAAATATCCGGTTTTGGACGTGGAAAACTTTTAGGTTTGAAAGTGAATTGTGCATGCGACGGTGAAGTGTACAGTGCATGTGAAATTCGACGCCTGTTTTTCACAGAAAGCTTACGACCAACATCATATGAACTATAGCATCATAAGAACAAACATCAAATCCACACATTTTTTGGTCTTTTTTTTTATTCATTTGATTTCTCCCCTCTACTCTACAGGGAGGGAGAAGAAACAAACTGTCTCGGTAAACTAAAAAGATCTTTCCCTTCAAATGGAGAACTCCATTCCCGAGAACCTGATGTTTCAGCAGGAGATACTCCACCATCTTGCAATCCAGGCAAGGGAACAATGCTACCATTAGAGGGTAATGATCTAATTGCTGGCTGAGGATCCACACCAGAAGCATTTGAGCCGTATAGAGCACTACTCTTTGTAAAAGGTGAAAGCCCAAGCAATAATGCATTAGACCTAGGTGGAGATAAGCCTCTATCCAAGGACCAGTCAATGTTGGTATAATCAAATTGCATTGACCCACCAGTGCTCCAGTCTACTGGAGAAGTTGACCCTGAAGTTGCTGCAGATCCCAGCCCAGAAAAGAGTCCAAGAGAAGAAGCAGCAGCAAGCGTTGGAGACGCAGCCATTGTTCTATTCCATAGGCTACTCCCTCGGTTGGTTGCTTGCAGATCTACCGAACTGCTATTGCCAGCCACAAACTGTTGAGGAGGCTGACCCTGAAGTTGGTGGTACATTTGATTAGAACTGAAATAGTTTGAACTGAGGCTTTTAGAGCTAGGAGGGTGAGACATAAAGCCATTGGACTTCATAACTTCTACACTGTTAGTTGGATACCAACTGGCAGCTATTCCAGGAGGAGAAGAACTCAAGCTGGCAGCTGGAATCTGCTTTGTATTAACAGTTTGAGGCCGCTGCATCACAATTACTGGCTCCTTAGCTTGACCAGGTTGAAGGATCTTATAATCACCTCCAACAGCCACATAAGAAGCTTCTGTCTTAGAAGGTGTTGGTGACACTTGTAATGGTGATGCCAATGAGTAAGAAACCGAAGGATTAGATCCTGCACTTGGCCACCTCTTGTCAGCTGGTATTGAAGCTTGTTGAGGCTTTGCCCAATCAGACTTGGATTGGATTCTCTTAAGAGGCTGCATAGGTTTGTTGCTGGATTCCGCAGACCCTCCAGTAACTGCTTGCTTGGTATAGTTAAAATCCTTTTCATCTTTTTTGAGTTGATTCGGAGAAAGAATGGGTTTAGACTGTGGCCTAGCATTTTGATTCACAACTCCTGTCTGCTTACCATCAAATGAAGGAGGATCACCAACTTCATCTGGCTTTGGTGGACCAGATGGTCGATCCATCTTCAATTCTCTCAAAGACTCTGCAGCCTTGTCAAGATCACCCTCACAGGCAACAACTGCTCTTTCAACCTCCTGTTTTGAGAAACTGAACTTGATTTCTAGGTCTGCAATCTGAGCCAGTTCTTCTGATATATCAATTTTCAAATTACTCCCACTTATATTTGCATCTTTATGATTATCTGCTTCTTCACCACCTTCAAAGAGCCATGCTACTGATTCCTCAACCCTTCCTTCATTCAGTATCAATGCTACTGTTGCACGGTCGTGAGAAAATCCCATTGCCACAAGCTGTTGAGCAAGTGCCTCTAGTTTCCTTGACATAATATATCCACTGCAACGATCATGCAACTCTTGTGCCCGTCTTTCCTTCTGCCGTTGATGTTTCTTTTCATTCTTCTGGCGAATTTTCTCTCGTTTGTCATTATCCGCTCCTGGAACTGCCTCCAGTCGAACAGGAGGATTGGAAGATTTCTCTTTATGGTCCTCGGACTCACCAGACCAACTACCATTGTTAGAAACAGAATCATACTCCACACCAGCTACCACTGAGCCAGTAGGATGTTCATCTGTCTCATCTATATTCCGAAAACGACCATTTGATTGTACTTGGGATGTAGATGCCGGTTGCATCTCCAAAGTATGGAATGTTCCCAATAAAGGGTTGTATGCACTAGCTGGTACACCAGCTACTGCATTAGCAGATCCTGAAGACTTGGCAACAGGCTTCTGACCTTCTTTGCCTGCCTTTTTGTCTTTAGACTTAGATTTGGAAGGAGACATCTTTTTAGTAAAAAAGAATATGTCCCTGAAAAATAGAAGAGAAATAATCAGATTAAATTATTTTTAGTGAACTAAGAAATTACTATAGAAGCAATATTATAGGCATCAACAAAATAAAAAAAAAATCGCATCTACTAGACAACATTTTGTTAACATCAATACCATCATGCATATGGATCTGTTTGCAAACAACCAAGTGCTTTAAGGATTACAGGATGACAACAGAACCCAGTTTAAACTACTACCAACTACAGAAGGAAAAGGAAAACAGAGGGCGAGTAACCAATAAAAAAATATAATTCAACAAAACCAAATGGATTATATTTATCGTTAAAAGAAGTTTCCTCCAGAAGAAACTGCTTTTCTGTCCCCTGAATATTTGTGGCATGCATAGATTGAGTTCAAACCATGGTAGTTGAATCACGTATCTGAGAGCTTATTTTTCTTATCGCGAATGGTAAGATTCGTAAACATGTAAAAAACGTAACATGCAAGACATACAAAAATGTAGAGATGTAATTAACAACAACAATCACATTAAAAAAGAGTGGTTGTATAGTGGATAAATTAAGTTAATATTATAATGGTTGGATTGGGTTAGGTTGTATAGTGGTTTTAGATGGAGTCACCATTTACTTATTGGGCTTTAAAATGTTTTAAACAAAATGGGCTAAAATTTAAGGTTAGAAATGGGTCCCAATTCCAACCCACTAAAACCCTAAGGTTGTCATTACTCACAGACGCACACGATGCCGGCATGAGTGTCACTGCAGTGAGTAGCTACCATAGAGGTGCCACTGTCGCAAGGTCTGCTGGCTTCTTCTCCCTCATCAGCGAAGGCATTGAGGCATGCGGCAAGAGGCGCCATTGCGAGAGACACTGTTACAAGAGTTGTTGCAGCAAGAGTAGCCACCGTGGGAGGTGTCAGCATGAGAGGTGCCACTGCGAGTAACATCTCTGTCCATGGATGCTACGATTCAAGCTACGATTCGGGGTGATTCGAAGCGATTCAGAATTCGAATCATACGATATGAACAACATACGGGAGCAAAAACGAGTAGCCAAGCAATACATATAGGTGGAGAATCATATCGTATCTTACAATTCGTATTGTGTTTCATACGATACTTACTACTATGGTTCAGACATAGATTCTCAAATGTTCTTGTTGCATTGGTTAGCAGTTTCCTTCTCTGGAATAACTTATTTATGTCCATGACGATCTCTATAAATTTAATGAGTACTAAAGGATTCATACAATGCAAAATCTATTTGACGACCAAAAATAATGCTCTCTACAGAAGCACATTACAGAGCATGAAAATTGCATTGCTACCATTTTAAAAAACCAGAACGAAAAGCAAGAGTCAATAATTTGTTTCAATCTAANATTTTTTTTTTTAGTGTGTTATGCTTTGGATCGAAGTTTCAGTGTGGTTGTTTGTGTATAATAACATTTGTTTTAGGGTTGAATTTTGCTTTTCAACAGATGTTTTTAAAAAAATTTCTAATCTTTTGTTGGTGAGATTAGATTGTGTATGACCCTGAAGCAAGGATTAACAAGTTGGCTGATGAAGTGGACAGGGAAGCTCCCCTTTCTAGGCTTACTTTGTTCTCTCCTTGCAAGGTAACCACCTTCCCCGTGCTTTTTCTTGGAGGCTACCCAAATTTGGTTGTTTTGTGTTGAAATTGCTACCCTTTATTCTGCAGATAAATGTTTTCTTGAGAATAACAAACAAGAGGGAAGATGGGTATCATGACTTGGCATCCCTTTTTCATGTAAGAGGTTATGACAATTTGGCAACTACCTCAGTGCTCTCTTATTTCATTTACCTTTTAATATGGTTTATGCATTCTTGAGCATGTCTTACTTGCATTTTTGGAGTCTTTCAGGTGATAAGTCTTGGTGACATAATTAAGTTCTCTTTGTCACCTTCAAAAACCAAGGATAGTCTATCAACCAATGTGTCTGGGGTGCCCCTTGATGATAGAAATCTGGTACTAATGTTTCCCTTCTCATTCTTTTCTTCTTCTGGTCATTTATCTGTTCAGATTCCAGAGAATGTTATATTGAAATTCTCTTTTAACAGATTATTAAGGCGCTTAACCTTTATAGGAAGAAGACTGGTAGTGACAAGTTCTTTTGGGTACGAAGTAACGATGTTTATTCTCTTCCTATTTTACCATTTTTAATTGAAAGCTGCATGCTTCTTTCTTTTCATCCAATAAACTCAACTTACTCCAAGATTTCATGTGTATAATGTATATTCATGTTGTTTTCAGATTCATCTGGATAAACGCGTGCCTACTGGGGCTGGGCTTGGAGGTGGAAGTAGCAATGCTGCAACTGCACTATGGGCAGCAAATCAATTCAGTGGTTGCCTTGCTTCAGAGAAAGAACTCCAAGAATGGTCAAGTGAGATTGGATCAGATATTCCCTTCTTTTTCTCTCAGGGAGCAGCCTATTGCACTGGTCGAGGAGAGGTTAGTCAAAAAATTAGGTACCTTCCATTCGCAATTTGCTTTCTTATTTATTGTTACATCTTGCTGTCCGGATTCACCATGTATGTCACCAATTGATATTGATAATATTTCACAATTCTGATTGGATCCTATAATTGTGAAGGGATTTATGTCACTTCCTAGAATACAGCTTAAAGAGTCATGGTATAAAACTTTGATATTATTGTATGTAAGATGGCCAAGTGAATCCAGCATTTACCATTGTGGTTCAGATCGCCAAGATTGATCTTTATTACTGAAACCTTTAATAATTTAGTACAGACACCAGATCATTTTTGTCATGGATGGAAAGGAATTTGTCTGTTCCTAAAATATTTAATGTGAAGTGATTTATGTAACTTTTGTGTTCGACTGTGTCTAAGAATTCCCATGCATTTATAACCTTTTAACCATTTGCAGGCAGCTAAACTTATATTCAAGATGATTTCCCTTTCATTGTATTTTATTCAAGATTTTTTCTTTCACCTGTGCAGGTTGTTCAGAATATTCCTCCACCAGTATCTCTGGACGTTCCAATGGTTCTCATAAAGCCCCCAGAAGCATGTTCGACTGCAGAAGTCTACAAGGTATCTGTCTTTTCGGAGTATTAATGAAATCATACCCCCCTCCCCCAACTTTTAGTCCCGAATTTAACAACTTCCAATGGTACAGCGTCTACGTTTGGACCAGACTAGTAATGTTGATCCTTTAACATTGTTGGACAAGATCTCAAAAATTGGAATCTCACAAGATGTTTGTATTAATGATTTAGGTATGCTTTTAGCTATGTATTTTCTCACTTTTCCTTTGATTTGATTTTATTGAATGCAAGTTGTACATAATTCTATGAGATCTACAATGATGGTAAATAGCACAACTGATATTCTACTATTCTATTTTCATTATATAATTGTATGTACAATTTACTGAAATATCAACTGTGTCCCTTAATATCTTGCACAACATCAATTCTTCCAATCATTGGCACAGTTATATTTGATTCTCATTGAAGTTCTGTTCTGGTGCTTTTGACTTTAATTTTCTTTTCATGTTTTCCTTTTTCCTTCATCTCCAGAACCTCCCGCGTTTGAAGTTCTCCCATCTCTCAAAAGACTGAAGCAGCGCATTAGTGCAGCTGGTCGTGGAGAATATGGTGCTGTTTTTATGTCAGGAAGGTGAAAACACTGGAAAACCTATTATTCTTTAATATCTAGACTGTCATTTTTGTATAAGTCATAGAAACATGCTAGAGCTGGCCCCAGGCACAAATATATTGTGTGTTTGTTTCTAAAGGTTTCTCCACACCCTTTGTATGTGATACTAATCCCTTCTGCCACAGAGCAATGCTGTTAGTCACTCTTCACAATTATTATCTCCTGTTCCTCCATATTTATCCCTTTATATTCCATTCAGAAATATGAGAGAATAAGGTTTTTCATCCTCTATGTTCTACAATTCTTTTATAATCAATTCTATCAAAGGTTATACATAAAAGTAAACTGAGGTATTAATTCTTCTGAAGTGGTCAATATTTTTCTTGATCTTCTTTCTTTTAGTTGTAATATGGAGTCATGATTTGAAAAGATGCAATCATTTTATATGCTGTCTGAATACATCTCATGCAGTGGAAGCACCATTGTTGGAATTGGCTCTCCTGATCCTCCACAATTTGTTTATGATGATGATGAATACAAAGATGTGTTCTTATCAGGTAAGCTTTGATAAATTAAACTTGAAAGTAGAAAATTACATCCATGTTTGATATATTGAAGCTCTAGTTCCATGTGCAGACATCCATTATCCAGAAGCTGAAATGAGTAATTCTACATTACTTATGATTTGGAAAGTGGGAAATGCATTTTTACCTGTTCACATTGGCTAATTTTACTTATATAGCATATAAGAATGTGCAGAGGTGCAACATGCATTTCATCTGCAAATTGAGTTGTCATCAGAAACATAAATCCCTTACAATATTATGTTAATTTGAAAAATTAACTAAGGTCAATTCAAATGCTCCTGTTGAATGAAGTCCTTAAAAGTTCTTCTCTAACTGCATTAACTGAAAGGGTTAATTTTATTTCAGCACTCAATGAAGTATTAATTTTATTTCTAATTTAAACTATATCATTGTTAATGTATATATGCACCAGATAAAAGTAATGCATTTACTGGGAAAAGGAGGTTATTTTAGTGAAACTATTTCAACAAGTGTATGCATTTTATATTACCAAGAAGTTAAGTACATATATTTATTAGATGGTGTTTTAGAATGAGCTTATGATGGATTTTGATTTTGATGTGAATTTCTCACCGTCATTTGCAGATGCCTATTTTCTCACTAGGGAGGCAAACCAGTGGTATCAAGAACCTGCTTCAAATCCTTCTTCTGCCTCTGCTTCTGTTGTTTCAGACTCTGTTTAAGCATATGGTCTTTCAAGATAAGAAGACTGTAATGCAGAATTGCATTATCTTGTCTTTTTCTCCTGCATCATTCAATGATGTAAAAATTAAGTTTTGCAATTTAACTGCTGGGAAACAATAATGTTAGAGAGATAATCGGTTGAATAAATATTAAGGAGGGCTTCTAAGAAGTAACAATGTCCGAATAATTTGTCGTGGTTATTAGCAATTATTCAGAGACCCTAAAAATAATGTTGCAAGTTAAAGATGATCTTAGTTCTGTTTCAAAGTTGGATGGTCTTTTTGATTTTTGAATCACTTAATGTAATTGACATTGGAATGTTTATATGGTGAAAAATTGATTTTTGATATTTTACCTGCACAGAATACTTGACAATTTTCTCCTTGCTATCCCTTTTTCAAGCTGGTATTAGCTTGGTGGGAAGTAGTATACATACGATATAAATATAGAAATATTTATCAGAAGGTTAAATAAATGGTTCATGAACTACAAGTAAAATAAAATATAAAATATGAAATAAAATCTAAATATATAGTTATAAATATATGATATTAATAAAATAATAAAAAACATATTTAATTATATTCAGCATACAATCAATTTTATACAACAATAAAAAATAAAATAAAATAGCATAAAC